TGCAAAGAAATGTGATCCTTCCATTCCCCACCCCATCCTATCAGAACCTATCTGTCCATGACCCCCACCATCAGAACTGAGAAAGCTTCTTGGAGGAGAAGTGAAATGTTTTCTTCTTCCTCCTCAAGGAAAAAACAAATCAGTTGCCTTTTGAAAAGCACTGAGACATGCTTGAAATGGAAAAAAAAACCAGAATTTTGACTTTGGATTGTGCTGTTTAGATAACGTTGTTATAGAAATGGCTAATAGATAAAAGTATAAAGTTGAGGCTGTACTGCACTAAAAAGAATCAGAAGTCAAATGGGTTTTTCCCCTTTTACTCTACACTTAGAACACAGAACCATCATACAATTTGCACGACTGTATCTACTGTAGATGCAGTACACGGTGTCTCAGTGGCTAAGACGCTGAGCTTCTCGATCGAAAGGTCAGCAGTTCAGAGGTTCGAATCTCTAGTGCCGCGTAACTGGATGAGCTCCCGTTACTTGTCCCAGCTTCTGCCAACCTAGCAGTTCGAAAGCACGTAAAAAATGCAAGTAGAAAAACAGGGACCACCTTTGGTGGGAAGGGAACAGCGTTCCGTGCGCCTTTGGCGTTGAGTCATGCCGGCCACATGACCACGGAGACGTCTTTGGACAGTGCTGGTTCTTCGGCTTTGAAACAGAGATGAGCACTGCCCCCTAGAGTCAGGAACAACTAGCATCTAGGCAAGGAGAACCTTTACCTTTACCTTTTATCTACTGTAGTATGCCAGCTACACCTGTTCCTGAGAAAGCTGAAACTGGCAACACGTCTCAGTTATTATTGTTTTTATTGTCTTTATGTTGGTGGTCTTTTTTTATTTTTGTAAGCCACCCAGAGTCATCGAGAGCAAGTGGGCGGCCCTACAAATTTTCTTAAATCAATAAATAAATACTATAGCTGGACTATTTTTCAAAGTTGTTCCTGAAGGGTTTTTCTGGAAGTTTTAACTGGTGCAAATAGAGGTTGCGGTTTTATTAGTAAGCGCATGGCATCAAAAGTCCATTATTAATGCACATGCTGAAAGTCATAAGTGAGTGAGTGGTGGGTTTCAAAATTTTTTACTACCGGTTCTGTGGGTATGGTTTGGTAGGCGTGGCTTGGTGGGCATGGCAGGGGGAAGGATACTGTAAAATCTCCATTCCCACTCCACTCCAGGGGAAGAATACTGCAAAATCCCCATTTCCTCCCCATCAGCTGGGACTCAGGAGGCAGAGAATAGATGGGGGCAGAACCAGTCAGAGGAGGTATTTACCGATTCTCTGAACTACTCAAAATTTCCACTACCGGTTCTCCAGAACTGGTCAGAACCTGCTGAAACCCACCTCTGAGGTGAGTTATCAATGGTTTAGGAGCAAAGTTGTCTCAGAAATACATCACAAACCGGAATATTGCTTCTGGCGCAACATCTTCTTAACCCAATCCATTCAAAGAGAAATCAGCTTCCCACCCACCCACCCACTGCCAACTTAGAAAAGAGGATTTAGGATTTGTGGGTCTCCGGGGAGCGAAGGGGGAGGTGGGCTCGTAAGATGCAAATTTATGGAGCAGTGCAAATGACACCTGAGCCCTCGGCCGAGGCTCTGAATTGCTTTTTGGCAGGATTAATGAATGAAGCCCACTTAATTACCATTTTGTAAATACAATCTCCCAGCAAGGAATGAAAAATCGATATTCGGAGCTTGCCTTTGCGTGTACATGCTTGGCTTTTGCTACCTGCTGTTGCGATAAACGCATTCCAGTAACCGCAGACCCTTTCATGCAATTTATATTCCGAGTTTGCACATCACGTCCCCCAGCATATGCACATGTGTACACACACACACACACACACACACACACACACACACACAAACACACGCATGGCCCTGATGCACAGAACTGAGCCCGGCAGCAGAGAAACAAGGAGCCTTCATTGGTGACAGCTTTACATTTTTTTCTCCTTATTCTTTTTCACGCCTGCTCTGAGTGTGTTACACTAGCAGCTCACTCCCTCTGGGCAGGACACTGCAAGATCACAAGCAGCCTTCCCACCCCTAGACCTTCCCCCCCTCACCTCTTCCCCACCACAACAAAAATGTGTTGCTGGATTGTGACTTTTTTTTAATGTGACCGAAGAGGGGGTGGTAGTGAAAAAAAGGAGTTCAAATATTTAGGAGCAACCGCACCAACTCTTTCATTAAACGGCTTCCATTCGGATGATGCAATTAATTGTAAATGTAATTTAAATAAAAAATTAGCTTCCCCCCACCCCACCCCATCCGTCTCCGTCTCCTCTTTTGTTCTCTTTCCCCTGCCTTCCCAGCCTCCATTTGTTGGCACGATGCTCCTGACAGGCCAGTCAAAAGCAGAAAACTGAGAACAGGCTGGCAGGAGAGGAAAAAGCAGAGAGGGTGAAAAGGAAGCAGGAGTTAATCTGCCAGCCTTTGCAAGCTTGGGGAGCTGAGATGATTGCAATGTTTCGTTTGGGGACCTATCCGTGCGAGGAAGGGATCGAGGCAAGTTACAACCAGCTTTACAAGCCTGTCCGAAAATTTTGGGGTTGGCCCCCCCTGAGCTCCTCCAAGAAGCCGACGCCAGATTGATGCCACTTTTAAATGAAGCCAAAGTGGGATTTTTAAATTTGTATTTCTCTAATAGTCTCAAAAGGGATGCACGACTGTATCTACTGTAGATACAGTAAAGGGACGCAGTGGCTCAGGGGCTAAGACATTGAGCTTGTCGATTGAAAGGTCGGCAGTTCAGCGGTTCGAATCCCTAGTGCCGCGTAACGGGGTGAGCTCCCATTACTTGTCCCAGCTTCTGCCAACCTAGCAGTTCAAAAGCACGTAAAAAATGCAAGTAGAAAAATAGGGACCACCTTTGGAGATAAGGTAACAGTGTTCCATGCGCCTTTGGCGTTGAGTCATGCCAGCCACATGACCACGGAGACGTCTTCGGATAGCGCTGGCTCTTCAGCTTTGAAACGGAGATAAGCACTGCCCCCTAGAGTCAGGAACGACTAGCACATATGTGCGAGGGGAACCTTTACCTTTACCTTAATAGACTCAAAGGGGCTTTTTTTCAAAACACAAAACAAAACACAACTAGAAAAAGATGTTTTTTTTCAAAAAAAAAAAAAATCACCAATGACCTGGATGGTTGAGAATCTCCACAGACATTTCCATAATAGATTGTCTATTGTCTTCATCTACTTTTTATCCTGGCCACTCCCACTCCGGCTTCATCCCCGCCCACTTTTAATGGGTTTGCTCCAGTGGTGAAATGTAAAATTTGTTACTACCAGTTCTGTGGGCGTGGCTTGGAGGTGGTGGGGGTAATGTGACTGGGTGGGCGTGGTCAACTTTTTTTTTTTAAACTTTTAAAAGCATTTTTTCTATAGCCTCTTCGGCCAAAGAGATTGCAGGAAAAAAAAATGCTTTTAAAAGTCTCTGATGATCAGGGAACTCAGCTGGGATTGTCAGAGGCTTTTAAAAGCATTTTCTCTACAACCTCTTCGGCCAAAGAGGTTGCAGAAAAAAATGCTTTTAAAAGCCTCTGATGATCCCAGCTGAGCCGCGCGATCATCAGAGGCGGTTTTTTTTTACTTTTAAAAGCATTTTTTTCATCGGAAGAGGTTGTAGAAAAAATGCTTTTAAAAGTAAAAAAAAAAAGCCTCTGATGGTCGCGCAGCTCAGCTGGGCATGGGTGGGGGGGCTCAGGGATTTTTGCTACCGGTTCTCCGAACCACCTGCTGCCATTGCTACCGGATCGGGTGATCCGGTCCGAACCGGGAGCATTTCACCCCTGGTTTGCTCCTATCATACCTCTTGAAAATTGAATTTCGAGGACCCGCAGTTAATAAAGGTCTGCCTTCCTGCCATAAATTATACTGAGATTACTAGTCTCATAGAACATAGAATAAGGGGATTGGAAGGGACTTTGGAGGTCTTCTAGTCCAACCTCCTGCTCAAGCAGGAGATCTTATACCATGTTGGGAGTCAAGACAAGATGGACGTGAGACCTTTTCCAACCAGATGTTTTCCAGACAGGACTGCAGTTCCTAATATCTCCTTCCACCGTGGCACCTGATTAACAATCCATATGGTGGGGAAATGTTGGTGGTTGCACCTGAAGCTTTACAACTTCAACAACCCAACAACAACAACAGTGTGGTTTCAATAACACCTTTCTGGCCACCACCTTGATTTCTTTGGGGGGAACCATCTCTTGGGGACACCCCGGTTTGCCTCTGAGAAATTTCAAAGAATTCTGCATCTTTGTCACTCCTTTTTTTAACTTTTTGCTGGTGCTCACAGACTTCCAGTCATATTACTTAACCCTGTTATCTTTCATTAGGGGTTTCTATAACCTAGAGATTTATAGCTTGGCCTCTGTTATTTCCCCGGCATTCTTCTGTATTATTTCCATAGAAACCAAGCCCCCTGAGTGGCAATTTTCGCACTAGGCTCAATCTAACCCGCTATTTCCATGATACAAACATTGCGTCCTTCTAGCACAGAAAAAGTAGGGTTGCCTAAGCTTTGCTGAGAATCAAGACTGTGCTGGTGAGATAATTCCACCGTTCATTATTAAGAGTCCTTTGGTCCAACATTTGAGCCATATCAGAGGTGGGTTTCAGCAGGTTCTGACCAGTTTTGGAGAACCGGTAGTGGAAATTTTGAGTAGTTCGGAGAACCGGTAGTAAAAATTCTCTGCCTCCTGAGTCCCAACTGATCAGGAGGAAATGGGGATTTTGCAATAACCTTCCCTTGAATTAGGGAGGGAATGGAGATTTTACAGTATCCTTCCCTTGCCACGCCCACCAAGCCTTGCCATGCCCACCAAGCCACACCCACAGAACCAGTAGTAAAAAAATTTGAAACCCATCACTGGGCTAGATGTTTGTAGGGCCTGACCCTGACTTTACCTTGACATCTGGTAGATCCAGGCTCAAATACCCAGTATGCCTACTGAACTCTGCTGAACTCGAATCTTACCTATTGTTGTTCTTCAGTTTAATGTGCTCGCTCGGCTCCAAAATCTGCCCGTTCTTCAACCATGTGATCTGTGGGGAAGGCTCTCCTTGGGCCAAGCAGGTAAAAATGGCGGTGGTCCCCACAGGTCTGGCAATTGACTGAGGATGCTGGACAAATTCTGCAGGAGCTGGAAAACAAAAGCGAAAGACATCTTGCTTGCTTGACTTTGGGAATTGAAAGAAATGTAATCCAGGTTTTCCTACACAGGGAATAAATGAATAAGAGCTTCTAGTCCAGGCTCACTAAAATAAATACTCAAATGGATGTTTTCTTCTGGTCACAATCAGATCAAGAAACAAGACAAGAGTCTTCTTCAAGGTTTGCTTAAACTGTGGAAATTCCTACCACAAGAAAAACACCCTTGGTAAACTCTCTGGAGATCAGGGGTGAAATACTACCGGTTCAGGCGAATCGGTAGTAAAAAAAAGTTACTGGTTCATCTGAATCAGTATTTCCAACCATCAGCTGAGCCGCGCGATTTATATTCACTAGAATCCTGCTTTCTAGCAAATCTAAATTGTGTGGCACAGTTGTTCCCCGCCCTCGCTGTTCTACTTACCTTCAAACGGCTCCTTTTTCCACGCGAAGCGTGTGTTTGGTGTGCACTGCACATATGGCGTGTGTTTGGTGTGCACTGTGCATGCACATGCATGTGTCTGGCACACACTATGTATGCGTGTGTGCAGCATGCGCGTGTGCAGCAGGCAGCGAAATGGTGGCAACCCGTGGAGGATTTCACCACTGCTGGAGATACTTTGCTAACTGGATAGCTCAGCAGACTAATGCATTGTAATTTAACGCCAGCTGTCTGCAATTACTGTAAGTTCGAATCTCACCAGGCTCAAGGTTGACTCAGCCTTCCATCCTTTCTAAGGTAGGTAAATTGAGGACCCAGATTGTGGGGGCAATAAGCTGACTTTGTATAAATATACAAAAGGATGAAGGCTATTGCTTAACGCATTGGAAGCTGCCCTGAGTCTCCGGAGAAGGGCGGCATATAAATCAAAAAATTAAGGAGCCTGAGTGGCGTAGGAGGCTAATGCCTCCTACTAAGGCAGCATTTAACATCCAGCTGCCTGCAATTACTGTGAGTTCGAATCTCGCCAGGCTCAAGGTTGACTCAGCCTTCCATCCTTTCTAAGGTAGGTAAATTGAGGACCCGGTTTGTGGGGGCAATAAGATGACTTTGTATAAAATATACAAAAGTATGAAGGCTATTGCTTAGCGCATTGTAAGCAGCCCTGAGTCTCTGGAGAAGGATGGCATATAAAAATAAATAAATAAATAAAAAATAAAAAAATAAAAAAGATATTTAGACTCTGGAAAGAGTGCAGAGAAGAGCAACGGAGATGGTTAGGAGACTGGAGGCTAAAACATATGAAGAACAGTTGCAGGAACTGGGTATGTCTAATCTGATGAAAAGAAGGACTAGAGGAGACATGATAGCAGTGTTCCAATATCTCAGGGGCTGCCGTGGCTGGTTCAGGAGTGGGCTGTGTGAATGGCTGGCTGGCACATACATGCTGCTTGACTAGTGTGAGCGGTGGCCAGTGCATGCCCACACACTGGCCCACTATGCGCACGAGCCAGGTCCCCTCTCTCTCCATCAGCAGGTCGCCAAGCCATAAAGGTTGGGGACCAATGTGCTAAAGCCACAAAGCCAAGCTAGATGAACCGTAACCAGGCTTAGCATGTGTGCCTGCAGCCATTGGATTTGCAAAACATCTACGGTGTGAATAAAGTGACTCCCTACAAATCATATTCCATCTTCAAAAGAGGATTTTTTATCTAAATGAATAGAATAGAGTAGAGTAGAGTAGAGTAGAGTAGAGTAGAGTAGAGTAGAGTAGAGTAGAGTAGAGTAGAATAGAATAGAATAGAATAGAACATAGGATAGAAGAGTAGAGTAGAGCAGAGCAGAGCAGAGCAGGACAGGACAGGACAGGACAGGACAGGACAGGACAGGACAGGACAGAACAGAACAGAACAGAACAGAACAGAATAGAATAACAGAGTTGGAAGGGACCTTGGTGGTCTTCTAGTCCAACCCCTTGCTTAGGCAGGAAACCCTACACCACTTCAGAGAAATGGTTATCCAACATCTTCTTAAAAACTTCCAGTGTTGGAGCATTCACAACTTCTGGAGGCAAGTTGTTCCACTGTTTAATTGTTCTCAGTGCCAGGAAATTTCTCCTTAGTTCTAAGTTGCTTCTCTCCTTGATTAGTTTCCACCCATTGCTTCTTGTCCTGCCCTCAGGAGCTTTGGAGAATAGCTCAACTCAGTTAACCATCACAAGTTGCTTACACCTTTTAATTGGCCTGCTAAAAAAAAATAAATCTGAGATCCAGGATTTACATAATAAACTGAACCATAAACTAACCAAAGAGACTCTGTTTGTGCAATGGCCAAACCCACAAAAATCCAGCCATGGTTGACCCTGACCAAGGTCAGCAAATTGTGCACTTTCAGTGGCTTGGGTTTTTTCCCGGTCCGGTTACCTTTTTTGTTGTGTGTGTATGAGGCCACTGTAAATGCAACCACAGCGCCCTGATACCGTGGCACGGAGCTCCATATGGAAAAGCAAAGATGGGTAAACAATGGAAGGAAGGTAAACAGAAGGGCTTTCAGAGCCCAGCAGCTCCCAGGCAACTCTGGGACAGCCGAGGAGCTGCTAATACTCGCTGGGGCAGTGAGGTCTTTTATGCTGAAGAAGACAACAGAGTGAAGGACTGCGAAGAGCAGCCTATTCAACACTGAAGGGCATGAGCGTTTCTTCAGAGGCGTTTGAAATCAGTTCATCCATCATGGTTCCGAGGCTTTTGACAGCCAGCGGGGAAGAGAGAAGGAGGCAAATAGATTGCCTTGCATTGAACTATTGGATCTGGTCTTCTTTGCTGCCTTCTGCATAGAAGTCCTCAACTTGCAAATAGCTGCTTAGCAACCATTCAAAGACACCCCCCCCCAAAGCAACTTATGGCCCAGATTTGAAGTTCTGATGGCCCCCCCTTTTCCCCTTTGGGTCTCAACACTACCCTATTTTTCGGAGTATAAGATACACCTTTTTCCCCCCACAAAGAGGGTGAAAATCTGGGCGAAAAACTGGCCTCCGGGAATTTCTGGAAGTCTGGAAACGGACCCGTTTCCAGCCTCCAAAGGGCCTCCGGAGCCTGGGGAAGGCCATTTTCACCCTCCTGGAGGCTCGAGAAAAGCCTCCAGAGCTTGGGGAGGGCAAAAACACACCCCCTGCTGTGGTGTAGGAAGCCGAGTAGGCCACGCCCACCCAGCAACCAGGCAGAGAACTGGTTGCTAAAAATTTTTAATCCCACCCCTGCTCTGAGGGTTAACTAATCGGGTGGACTTTTTAATATGGAGTAGGAAGATCATTGTGTTTACAGCGGAGAAAGCAACATGTGCTTTTCCGGGGAAGAAAAGAGAACTGAAGTTCAGAAAAAGGTTGGAGATACAAGTTGAATGGAACAAGCCACAATTTGGTTTTCCATAGGAGGGAACAGATGGATGGAATTCGCCATCAAGTGAGGCTCAGAAATAAAGAGGCAAAACTGACTTGTTTGATTAAGGAAAAGAAAAACAAAGTACATTTGTCGGTGACTGGAAACTGTTTACGCTGAAGCTGTATGGCTCCTTGCAGAAACAGAAAAATAATGAATGGATGATGAATGGATTTGATAATTAGAAAGAGTGAAACATGGAGAGGAGGGAATTACGATGGAAGTTTAAAGGGTGGGGGATAGATAATATATTTATTTGGAACTGCAGTAAAAAAAAAAAGACTGTAAGCTGCTTCTTTATATATTGTTTATCTTTATTTTTCTTTACTTTTTCTATCTGCTAGAAAGAAAGAAAGAAAGAAAGAAAGAAAGAAAGAAAGAAAGAAAGAAAGAAAGAAGGAAAGACAGACAGACAGACAGAAAGAAAGAAAGAAAGGAAGAAAGAAAGAAAGAAAGAAAGAAAGAAGGAAGGAAAGAGGGAAAGAAGATGGAAGGCCAGCCTAGAAAATTCAGCAACATACAAATTTAAATGAGGCAAAGGAGGCATAGGTAAAGGTTCCCCTCACATATGTGCTAGTCGTTCCTGACTCTAGGGGGTGGTGCTCATCTCTGTTTCAAAGCTGAAAAGCCAGTGCAGTCCGAAGACGTCTCCATGGTCATGTGGCCGGCATGACTCAACACCAAAATCCGGAATGCTGTTACCTTCCCACCAAAGGTGGTCCCTATTTTTCTACTTGCATTTTTTACATGCTTTCAAACTGCTAGGTTGGCAGAAGCTGGGACAAGTAACGGGAGCTCACCCCGTTACACGGCACTAGGGATTCGAACCGCTGAACTGCCGACCTTTCGATTGACAAGCTCAGCGTCTTAGCCACTGAGCCCCCGTGTCCCTCAAAGGAGGCCTGTTTGACTGTAATTAAAAGAGGAAAAGAAGAACCTGTTGGTGGATCCACCAGGTTTTCCTTGCCTGTTTTCCAAACAGTCCATTCCAATCCCTTCCTGTGACTTACTGCTACGCCCCTTCCAGCTGCCTGCTTTTGAAATGATGTAGTAGGCAATGCTTCACCCAACACCTTTCCGAGATGCCATCTGCAGCCACCTGACAGCTTGCGAGCTGAGAAGAGCCATTCCTCAATGCTACCGCTGATGGCTGGACATCAGCACATGGCTAAAAGGATAAATTATTTCGAGGGTTTGGGGAAGAAGAAGAATGGAGCAGGACATCTGAACATAGAGTAGAATAGAATAGAATAGAATAGAATAGAATAGAATAGAAGAGAAGAGACGAGACGAGACGAGACGAGACGAGAAGAGAAGAGAAGAGAAGAGAAGAGAAGAGAAGAGAAGAGAAGATAATTGAATTCTTTATTGGCCAAGTGTGATTGGACACACAAGGAATTTGTCTTGGTGCATATGCTCTCAGTGTGCATAAAAGAAAAGATACCTTCATCAAGAACCATAAGGTAGAATACTTAATGATATCACAGGGTACAAATAAGCAATCAAATCATATTAGGAAACAGTCAATATAAATCATAAGGATACCAGCAACAAGGTTACAGTCATACAATCATAAGTGGAAGGAGCTGGGTGATAGGAACGATGAGAAGGTTAATAGTAGTGCAGACTTAGTAAATAGTTTGACAGTGTTGAGGGAATTACTTGTTTAGCAGAGTGATGGCGTTTGGGAAAAAACTGTTCTTGTGTCTAGTTGTTTTGGTGTGCAGTGCTCTATAGTGTCGTTTTGAGGGTAGGAGTTGAAACAGGTTATATGTCCAGGATGCGATGGGTCTGTAGATACTTTCACAGTCCTCTTTTTGACTCGTGCAGTATACAGGTCCTCCATGGAAGGCAAGTTGAAGCAACAGCTTTTTCTGCAGTTCTAATTATCCTTTGAAGTCTGTGTCTGTCTTGTTGGATCCACTAGAGCAGGGGCGTCAAACTCAATTTCATTGAGGGCCATATCAAGGTTATGTTTGACCTCAGGGGGCCGGGGTGGGTGTGGCCTGGGTGAGTGTGGCCAACATGACGTTACTTGTGTTGGGTGGTGCCTGTGGTGGCCCGAGTGCTCTGCCAGTGAAAATGGGCTCCCAAGCTCCGTTTGCAGCTGGGATGTCCTCTGCCAGCGAAAACAGAGTTCGGGAGCCCATTTTCACTGGTAGAGCGCTTGGGCCACCACAGGCACCCCCGCCAACTCAAGTGACGGCATGTTGGCCACACCCACCCTGGCCCCCAAGGCCCCCTTCGGCTGGGATGGCCTCCTGTAAACCTCTTCCAGTGAAAACGGAGCTCGGGAGGGTCGCACATGGCCCTCATGAGCTCTGCTTTCATTGGCAGGGGCACTGTGGGCCAGTCCTTCGCGATTTCCAGGGCAGCCCCGCGGGCCAGATCTAAGCACCCCACAGGCCGGATCCGCTCCCCGGGCCTTGAGTTTAACACCCCTGCACTAGAGACAAGTTTCCCCAAGGATCGGCCCCATCACAAGTCTGAGAGCTCGGAAGACTAAACCTCTGGGTCCCGGTAACGGATGGGTTCTACTTACCTTTACTACCAGTTCCCAGCGGGGCTGCGCGCTCTTCTGCACATGCGCAGAAGCGTTCTGATGATGTCGGGGTATGTGAGTGGAGCCTCCGGCTGGTTTTACTACCATTTCTACAGAACCGGTGTAAACCGGGGGCAACCCACCACTGGTCCCGGTGACCGAGCCAGATTAAATCCTGCCAAAATCTTGCGGTTTCCGAGAAGGGGAAATCATTTTGAGCCCACCTGACAGAAAGAAGCAACTTCCAGGCCTATTGAATCTTTGCATTTTTTCCCAACTCTTGTGAAAATGTCCAATTAGGGAGCTCGGGTGGGAAAATATATATAATTTTACAATCCGAAACTCGTCAAGCTCAAACGGTTCCCAAGAAAAGCTGATGAGAAAGGGGGAAGCGGCCGACTTCAAAGACAAAATGAGGGCTCGTAATCAGGAAAGGATTAAGGCACCATTCAACGGCTGGGTTGCCAGCTGGGTTGTTTTATCTACCTCCTCTATTTCCCCCCCCCCTTTTTTTTGTAAAAAGGCGTTCTCTGCAAAAAAAGTTCACCATGGAGACTGAAGACTCAGCAAACATTCAAGAAACCCCCTTTGCTGGCCACGGTCATTAAAAGTGGCTTTTCGGAATCGTCGTTAGGAGCTGGCAGTGGCGGGGAGGGGGGCAGGTTTTCCTGTGCACAACAACACACACACACATGATTTCAAAGGATTTCCACCGACTCCCAGATCAGGGGTAGAGCCCCAATCGTGCAGTGAAAAAGGGGGAGAGGCAGCGCGGGAATCACCTCCCTTCTTTAGTTTCCTTTTCTTCTCCTCCTCGTCCTCCTCCTCGTCCTCCTCGTCCTCCTCGTCCTCCTCGTCCTCCTCCTCCTCCTCCTCCTCCTCCTCCTCCTCTTCTTCTTCTTCTTCTTCTTCTTCTTCTTTTCCTTCTCCTTCTCCTTCTCCTTCTCCTTCTTTTCGGAACACAACCAGAAGAATAAACCAACCAACCAACTTTTCTTTAGTACCTTTAATAGTGGTTAAGAAATACTCCTGCACAGGCAGTATTTCGCCTGGTTGCTCTCAGCACAACTCGAAAAATTCTGTGGATGGATTTTATGAAAAGAGCATTAACTTTGGTGAGTGAAGCTCACTTCATCGGATGCATTGAGGGGCTGGCTCTACGTCTCATGCTCTGGAAGCTTTGAATCAAACATGCCAGAATTAGAATTAGAATAACAGAGTTGGAAGGGACCTTGGAGGTCTTCTAATCCAACCCCCTGCTTAGGCAGGAAGCCCTACACCACTTCAGACAAATGGTTATCCAACATCTTCTTAAAAGCTTCCAGTGTTGGAGCATTCACAAGTTCTGGAGGGAAGTTGTCCCACAGATTAATTGTTCTGCCAGGAAATTTTTCCTTAGTTCTAAGTTGCTTTTTATTTATTTTTTATTTTATTTATTTTATTAAATTTAATAAAACTTCTCTCCTTCATTAGTTTCCATCCATTGCTTCTTGTCCTGCCTTCAGGTGCTTTGGAGAACAGCTTGATTCCTTCTTTGTGGCAGCCTCTGAGATATCGGAACACTGTTATTGTGTCACCCCTAGTTTTTCTTTTCATCAAAAGTAGACATATCCAGTTCCAGCAACTGTTTTTCATGTGTTTTAGCCTCCAGCCCCCTAATCATCTTGGTTGCTCTTCTCTGCACTCTTTCTAGAGCCTCAACATCTTTTTTACAGTGTGGCAACCAAACTGGATGCAGAATTCCACGTGTGGCCTTACCAAGGCATTATAAAGTGGTATTAACACTTCACGTGATCTTGATTCTATCCCTCTGTTTATGCAGCCTAGAACTGTGTTGGATTTTTTGGCAGTTGACAAAAATATTATCACATTTTTTTTAAGTGTTTGCTACCACAGAAGAACATAGCTCTTCTCCTACAGGGTCTTATTCCATAGAATGAAACTTACGTCTATTGAGGCCAAAATGTAATTATATTAGGACCCAGATTGTTGGGGGCAAGAGGCTGACTCTGTAAACCGCTTAGAGAGGGCTGTAAAGCACTGTGAAGTGGTATATAAGTCTAAGTGCTATTGCTATTGCTACATAAATAGGAAGAAAAGAATTGGCATTTGACTGGGTCAACCGTTTACAGCAGTACCTTCAGTGGTGGGTTGCCCCTGGTTCAGACCGGTTCACAAGAACCGGTAGTAAAACCAGCGGGAGGCCCCGCCCACCGCCCCAGAAGTCATCATCAGTGATCTGCGCATGCACAGAAGCAAGGCGTGCGCGAGAGCGAAGCGAGGGCGTGCACGCGATCCCATTGCAAACCAGTAGTAAAGGTAAGTAGAACCTACCCCTGAGTACCTTGGTACTCATCGTTAATTGGTTCCGGGAGGCACGATGAGTACCAAAAATGATGAGTACCAGACAAATTTTTCCGATAAGGAATGATGCAGTGAGAAAGTTCTTACCTTGCACCACGAGTCTTCCTTGGGCTGTCCTCCTCACCCTTGTGCCGGGCTTATTGGCCGCACACACGTATATTCCAGAGTGCTGGACGGTGAGATCCGAAATCATCAGATTGCCAGTTCCAAGAACCTGAATTCCTTCTACACCAATTGGGCGTCCATCTGGAATAGGAAAAGGATGAAGTAAGATTATTTCCTCTGTCCTACTTATAGACTGACCAAGCCTACATTCCTGATGTCAGAGTTCCAAGTAACACCTCCAACGAAATAACACTCCGAGGCTTGAAGTTCCTCAAAGTTCCATTTTATTAGAGATGTTCATATTGGCACATCTGGGGAAATCCAAATCTGAAAGCTTCCAGGTTTTCCCCAGCCAAAGGAAAATTCAAGTCTCTGCCCAACACCCACAAGTCCATCACATGGTCCAATCAAAGCACCGTCCCAACTGGAGATGCCTCCCAGTTCCAGACCTCCAAGTGCAGGGCAAGATGTCCTTGACTCTCTGAGAAAGGAATGTTATTTTGACTATACAGTATATCACCCTGGCTCCACACAATTCCCACCTCCCAGTTTCTACAGTAGTAAATGTGGCAGGCCTGAAGATCCAACGAAAAAGATGGCTTCCAGGCCTGACAGTAGAATTGTGAAACATGCGTTTCCCATGCAACTCTGTCAAACAAGTCAAGATGGCGGCTGCAACAGTGGAATTCAAGTTCTGATTGCACTGTGTTAGCAAACAGGCTTAATTTTCTTCGACCAGAAAATGGGGGTACTCCTGACCCATTTTTTAAAAGATTTTTTTATCCCACTTTTATTATTTTTTTAAATAACTCAAGGAGGTGAACCTGTCTAATTCTCCTTTCTCCACCTACTTTATCCCACAACAATAACCCTTGGAGGTGACTTGGGCTGAGAGAGGGACTGGTCCAGGGTCACCGAGCCAACTTTCATGGCTCAAGCAGGACTAGAACTCCCAGCCTCCCATTTTCTAGATCGGTACCTTAACCTCTAGATTAAATTGATGCTATATTTTTATGGTTCATGAACCCATTCTCTTTTGCTCCAGCAAATATGAGTTCCTACTGGTTAGGAAACAATCACTGATAGAAAATAGGTACATAATGAGCATTATACAGGTAGTCCTTGGCTTATGACCAGTTGCTTAGTGACCGTTTGAAGTTATGACCAGGGGGTATCGCGTTTCCCTGAAAATAAGACCCTGTCTTATATTTTTTTGAACCCTGAAATAAGCGCTTGGCCTTATTGCCATGTGCTCAAAAAGCCCTATTGGGCTTATTATCAGGGGATGGGGAAAACAGGGTAGATAGATAGATAGATAGATAGATAGATAGATAGATAGATAGATACCGTGTTTTCCCGAAAATAAGACCCTGTCATATATATATTTTTGAACCCTGAAATAAGCGCGTGGCCTTATTGCCATGTGCTCAAAAAGCCCTTTTGGGCTTATTATCAGGGGATGTCTTATTTTGGGGAAAACAGGGTAGATGATATTTATTTATTTTTATTTATTTATTCGCATTTCTATACCGCCCTTCTCCTTTCGGACTCAGGGCGGTGAACAGCCGGATAAAAAACATCTATAACAAACATCACAATTAAAATAAGATTAAGATAATTTATAAATTTGGCTCATAATTTAAAATTTGTCAATTAAAATAAATATTAAAATTTTAAAAATTTTAAAACTAACCCTAAAATCAGGACAGACCAGCTAGTTGAAAAAAATGAGTTTTTAGGGCCCGACGAAAAATCCGGAGGTCGGAAATCACTCGTATCTCTGGGGGTAGATTGTTCCATAGGGTAGGTGCCACCACAGAGAAGGCTCTCCTCCTGGGGGTCGTCAGCCGGCATTGTCTGGCCGACGGCACCCTGAGGAGACCCTCTCTGTGGGAGCGAACCGGCCGGTGGGAGGCTATTGGTGGCAGAAGGCGGTCCCGTAAGTACCCTGGCCCTAAGCCATGGAGCGCTTTAAAGGTAATCACCAACACCTTGAAGCGCACCCGGAAGTCCACCGGAAGCCAATGCAGCTCGCGCAGGAGAGGAGTCACATGGGAGCGCCCCGTCGCTCCCATAATCCCCCGCGCAGCCGCATTCTGCACCAGTTGGAGCCTCCGGGTGCACCCCAAGGGGAGCCCCATGTAGAGAGCGTTACAATAGTCCAGACGAGAAGTGACGAGTGCTTGAGTGACCGTGCGTAGGGAGTCCCGGTCCAGAAAGGGACGCAACTGGCGTATCAGGCGAACCTGACAAAAAGCCCTCCTGGCCACGGCTGTCATATGCCCTTCTAAGGACAGCCGCGCATCCAGGAGGACACCCAAGTTGCGGACCCTCTCTGTGGGGGCCAATGATTCGCCCCCAATAACCAGCGATGGCGTCAGCTGGCTATACCGGGACGCCGGCAGCCACAGCCACTCGGTCTTGGAAGGGTTGAGTCGAAGCCTGTTTCTCCCCATCCAGACCCGCACGGCCTCCAGGCACTGGGACATCACTTCCAAGGCATCATTGGGGTGGTCTGGGGTGGAAATGTACAGCTGAGTGTCATCAGCGTACTGATGGAACTCCACCCCAAAACCACGGATGATCTCACCCAGCGGCTTCACATAAATGTTGAACAGGAGGGGCGAGAGGACCGACCCTTGCGGCACCCCACAAACAAGGCGCCTTGGGGTCGACCGCTGCCCCCCTGTCAACACAGATTGCGACCGGTCGGAGAGATAGGAGGAGAACCACCGCAAAACAGTGCCCCCCACTCCCAGTCCCTCCAGCCGGCGCAACATGATACCATGGTCGATGGTATCAAAAGCCGCTGAGAGGTCTAATAGGACCAGGATAGAGGAATAACCCCTATCCCGGGCCCTCCAGAGATCATCCACCAACGCGACCAATGCCGTTTCCGTGCTGTACCCAGGTCTGAAGCCGGACTGGAGCGGATCCAGATAGACAGCTTCATCCAGGTACTGGGGAAGCTGTCGCGCCACCACACTCTCAACAACCTTCGCAATAAAGCGAAGGTTGGAGACTGGACGATAGTTAGCCAAAATAGCCGGATCCAGGGATGGCTTCTTGAGGAGAGGCCTCACCACCGCCTCTTTCAAGGCGGCCGGCAGGACACCCTCGCTCAAAGAAGCGTTAATAATCCCCTGGAGCCAGCCTCGTGTAACCTCCCGGGAAGCCAGCACCAACCAGGAGGGACACGGGTCCAATAAACATGTGGTTGCGTTCAGCCGTCCCAAGATCCTGTCCATGTCCTCGGGAGCCACAGGATCGAACTCCTCCCAGATAACATTCTCAAGGCCTGCCTCAGTCATCTCGTCTGAACTAACCCAGTCGGCGGCCAAGTCTTCCCGAATCTGAGTTATTTTATCATCCAGATACTGTACAAAATCCTCAGCTCGGCCCTGCAAGGGGTCCTCCCGCGCTCCCAGATGGAGGAGGGAGCGGGTCACCCTAAACAGGGTGGCTGGGCGGTTATCTGATGACGCGATAAGAGCGGCAAAATAGCTAGATTTCGCCGCTTTTATCGCCACTAGGTAGGTCTTAATATGAGACCTTACCAGTGTCAAGTCAGACTCGGAACGACTGGCCCTCCAACTGCTCTCTAGGCGTCTTTTCCGGCGCTTCATCTCCCTCAGCTCCTCGGAAAACCAAGGAGCTAGGTGAGTTCGGTGCCGGGTCAGAGGCCGCAAAGGCACGACCCGGTCCAAAGCCCCGGCAGCCGCCCTATCCCAGGCGGCCACCAGGTCATCAGCCGAGTCATGAGCTAGAGTCTCAGGAAATGGCCCAAGCTCCATCTGGAACCTATCAGGGTCCATCAGGCGCCTGGGGCGGAACCACCTGGTCGGTTCCGCCTCCCTGCGACGGGGTACGGCGGTCAGAAAGTCAAGTCGAAGGAGCGAGTGGTCAGACCATGACAAGGGTTCGATATCTACATCCCCTATATCGAGGCCACTCAACCACTGACCAGAGATAAAAACTAGGTCCAGAGTGTGTCCCCCCATATGAGTAGGGCCGTGAATTACTTGGGTCAGGTCCATGGCCGTCATGGAAGCCATGAACTCCCGAGCTACCTCAGATGTTTCACCGATGGATGGCAGGTTGAAATCCCCCATGACCACAAGTCTGGGGGTATCAGCCGCCACCTCGGCTATAACATTGAGGAGCTCGGGCAGGGTCGTTGCCACGTGGCAGGGAGCCAGGTACGTGATCAACAGACCCATCTGCACCCCGCGACCCCACTTCACAAAAAGGGACTCACATCCGGCTATCTGAGGTACAGTGGTCTCCCTCGGATCAAGACCTTCTTTTAGAATGACCGCCACCCCCCCGCCCCTGCCCTGAGCTCTCGGCTGATGAAATGCCCGGAAGCCTGGTGGGCACATCTCCACGAGGGGAACTCCCCCCTCATGGCCCAACCAGGTCTCCGTGATACCTGCCAGGTCCGCTCCCCCCTCCTGAATAAGATCACAAATGAGGGGGGCTTTATTTACCACGGACCTGGCATTACATAACATCAGCCGGAGACTCGGGCGCTGAGACTCTAAGCAGCCTGGGGAACGGGAAGAGCTAAGGGGGCCGGGGCACGCAATCGCTCGAAGATAGCGAGCACGAGCCCCCACCACATGATATGGCCCCCTGCTCCCGCCATACCTGCCCCTCCCACTCAGTGTGTTAATAGAGAAGCCCTCACTAGAGGGCATTCTAACAGTCCCCTTTCCCCCAGAGTCCGCACCCCCTACGGCACCATTAATAACAACCGGACTGGTCTGCAACCCCCGTGGGTTTTCCCCCAAACCCACATAACCTCCCCCACCCCCAGAACCCCTTAAAAGTCTATTTAAAAGAGTCTTTAAAAAACCCCTCAATCCCCTTTTTGCGACATGCCAGATAGATAGATAGATAGATAGATAGATAGATAGATAGATAGATAAGATAGATAGATAGATAGATACCGTGTTTTCCCAAAAATAAGACCCTGTCATATATATTTTTTTGAATCCTGAAATAAGTGCTTGGCTTATTGCCATGCGCTCAAAAAGCCCGATTGCGCTTATTATCAGGGGATGTCTTATTTTGGGGAAAACAGGGTAGATGATAGATAGATGATAGATAGATAGATAGATAGATAGATAGATAGATAGATAGATAGATACCATGTTTCCCCGAAAATAAGACTCTGTCTTATATTTTTTGAACCCTGAAATAAGCTCTTGGCCTTATTGCCATACGCTCAAAAGCCCGATTGGGCTTATTATCAGGGGAGGTCTTATTTTGGGGGAAACAGGGTAGATGATAGATAGATGATAGATAGATAGATAGATAGATAGATGAAGATAGATAGATAGATAGATAGATAGATAGATAGATAGATAGATACCGTGTTTCCCCGAAAATAAGACTCTGTCTTATATTTTTTGAACACTGAAATAAGCGCTTGGCCTTATTGCCATACGCTCAAAAGCCCGATTGGATTTATTATCAGGGGATGTCTTATTTTTGGGGAAACAGGGTACTTATGACCCAAATTTGCTGTTCCAATCATTGCCGCACTAGTCACATGACTGCACTCCAAGGGCTCAGCAACTGAGTCCCATTTACAGCCCATTATATCATCCTGTGGTCATGCGATTGAATTTTACAAGGGTTTTGCCAAAAATGCATGTTTTGGCAAAACCAGCCCTTAGCTGGTTTTGATTTACATGATGATCCCCTACAAAAAAGGTTGTAAAATCAGGTTGGTCTCTTGGGTGACTTGATTTACGAACCTCACAAGTTATGACCAGGAGGAGCAGGCTTCATTATGGTCATAACTCAAGAACCACCCATAAATGGAATGTCTTCTTAGTGGAAATCAGCTGAAAGCCCCCCACATACACACACGTATGTCCCTCCAAAGATTACACAAACCTAAAATTATTGAATTACTTCACATTTCAGTGTTTTTGGCAAATTTCGTCAGGCCCTGAAAACCCATTTATTTCAACTAGCTGGGCTGGCTTGAGTTAAATTTTAAATTGATTTTAAATTGGGTTGTTTTAATTTACGGCCAAAATAATATTTAATTATTTTAAACTGCTTTTAAATTTTGTATGTATTGTTTTTTACTTTGGCTGTTCACCGCCCTGAGTCCTATTTGGAGAAGGGCGGTATAGAAATAAGAACAAATAAATAAATAAATTTCAGAAAATGTTTATTAATTCAGGAATCAAACATCTGTCAGCTCGGTTTAATGGTAGGGCAAACCCGAACCCATTTCCCACCCAGTGGTGGAATCCAGCTGGATCTATCCGGCTCGCGCGATCCGGTAGGGCCGGCAGTGGGAGGTTCCGCCCACCCATCGAGACATCATCACGTCCTGCTTTTGACCCTCTGCGCATGCACGCAGAAGAGGCATGAACGCTCACATTTCCGATCCGGTAGCAAAGGTAAGTGCATTTTACCCCTGCTCCCACCTCAAACGATTTCCATTTCAAAGCTATTTTGGCGGTGGGTGGGTGGGTAAGTGGGTTCAGCAAAACTGGGGAAGGCCCTTTAAGTTTTCTAGCTGCTGCGAAAGGCGGGCCAAGCATGGTCCAAGAATTTCTGCCATTTAAACCGTTGGCTGACTGCCCCTCGTAGTAAAAAGAAAAGTTAACAAAGCAAAATCCACCCAAGGTTTAAGAAGCGGAATCGGTTTGCCGGCACATCTGACGAAAAGGTCTGCCTTAAAATTCAGATTCAGCTCAATCGCACCTTTCAACGGAAAACCTTGGACAAATTATTTACACTCGACACCTAAACTCTCCTCTCTCTTTGCCCGTGGAGGTGATTAAAAGGGTTGAAATGCTGGAGGAAAGCAAAGCTGAAATGGATGCTGTTGTTTCTAAAATATTCAGGGGGAACTGAGAGCATTGTCAGCCAGAAGGAGGGGGAAAATGGCAGAGTCCTGTGCCAATATATTATCCAATTAATTGGGCTCTGCTGCTGTCATGTGGAGGGGTGTCAGAAGAGGAGGGTAATGCTTAGTTATTTACTTCTCACTATATCCCCCAGTCTGACAGTGTTCCAATAATCTGAGTCTTTTTTTCCTCTTTTTGCTAGCATTTCCAATGCTCTAAAAAAACCAGACTTGTTAAGTGATGTGATCCTTTCACGGATGTCAAACCCCCCAAGAAACCTGTAAGAGAAACGTTTATCTGCAAAGCTTTTCAAAGAAAAGAAGCGCAAATAATTGCCGTGCATCTTGAGAGAGGCACCTGGGTGTGTGTACATCTGTTGAAGGGAAGAAGGTGTTAGAACGATGAATATGCAATTTGAACATGAGTAGCAAAGAGCTTTTTCGGGGACAAACTGAACTCACCATTCCTCTCTGGAACAAAAAAACCCCCCTTCCCTTTGTAATTGTACGTTTGCTTTTGTTTTTGCCCTCTGAGTAAATTGTTAAGGAAGACTTTGTTCAGTTCAAAAGTATTAAATCAGAAGAATTCGATAGCGCCTTTTCTAACTAAGCATTTTTTTTTTCTTAAAAGGCATAAATTTTCATGAGCAGCTAGCTAGATCTTTTAGCGAGGTTTGTTAGTTGGAAAAGATTAACCTAATCCTTCTGTATTTTTACCATGAAAAAATTAACTTGGCTTTCCTCCTACAATGATTTAAAAAATATCAACTAAAACTTAGCAACTGAACAAGTTTCTATTTTGCTCAACCTCTTATATAAATCAAATCCATTTTCTTCTGAAATTCATCTAGGACAGGATACTTCAGCTTTTGGGAACCAGAGATCATATTTAGCATTTTGAGACCATGTTATGGGCACTTTCACAAAATGGCTGCCGTAGTAGATGTGATACTTGCAAGATACTTGTGTTCCAAGAGGCAAAGCAAGCTCCTCTTCCATTTCTTTTTCTAAGGGTACTTTTTTGAGGTCTCTATAGGCTATGAGACGTGGTGGCTCGGTGGCTAAGATGCTGAGCTTGCCGATCAGAAAGGTCGGCAGTTCAGCGGTTCGAATCCCTAGTGCTGCGTAATGGAGTGAGCTCCCATTACTTGTCCCAGCTTCTGCCAACCTAGCAGTTCGAAAGCAGGTAAAAAAATGCAAGTAGAAAAATAGGGGAAGGTAACAGCATTCCGTGCGCCTTCGGTATTTAGTCATGCCAGCCATGTGACCACGGAATCGTCATCGGACAGCGCTGGCTCTTCGGCTTAGAAACGGAGATGAGCACTGCCCCCTAGAGTCGGGAACGACTAGCACGTATGTGCGAGGGGAACCTTTACTTTTACCTTATGGGCCTTGAAGGCTTTGGACACAATGCTTGGCTCTTCTTTGCATTTTGTATTAAATCTAGACTAGTGTTTGCCATCCTTGGTATTATCCAGGTAGGTATATAGACCTCAAGTCCAATAATTCTCATCTATAGCCATGCTGGTTGCGGAATTCTGGCATCTGAACTCTGGCACCTGGAAATTCTTATGCTTTGGAAGCTAATCTACACAAATAACATCAGTTATAGCAAAGGTCTTAATGCTCATTGATCTTCTAGGACAGTTTCTCCCATCCTAATCCAGATCCGATGCACTACAACAGGGGTGTCAAACTCGATTTCATTGAGGACCGCATCAGGGTTGTGTTTGACCTCGGGGATGGGAGTGGCCAGGGTGGGCATGGCTAGCATGACATCACTCGTGTTGGGGGGCATATGTGGTAGCTCAAGCTGTCTCCCAGCAAAAATGGGCTCCCAAGCTCCTTTTTCGACTGCGACGGCCACCTGCAATCCTCTGCCAGCGAAAATGGAGCTCAGGAGGGCTGTGCGTGGCCCTCCTAAACTCCATTTTCACTGGCAGAGACACTGCGGGCCGGTCCTTCACAGTTTCCAGGGCGACCTCGCAGGGCAGATCTAAGCACCCAGCGACCCGGATCCAGCCCCCGAGCCTTGAGTTTGTCACCCCTGAAGAAGAGGTAGCTTTCTGGGGGGGCAACCTGGGATGTGGGACCACTATGGGGAGGGGTAAATAAAGGCAGGATGAGGAGTAGACTGTGCAATCCAAGCCCCGCCCCTTTTCATGTGTGTGGTGTGGCTGCAGCTACCATTTTCCCCATGCACCCATGTTGCAGTGGTGAAATTCAAATTTTTTTACTATCGGTTCTGTGGGCATGGCTTGGTGGGTGTGGCAGGGGAAGGATACTGCAAAATCTCCATTCCCACCCCACTCTGGGACCAGCCAGAGGTGGTATTTGCCGGTTCTCCGAACTACTCAAAATTTCCACTACCGGTTCTCCAGAACCTGTCAGAACCTGCTGGATTTCACCCCTGGTCAGGGATGTGGAGGGCAAAAGGGAGAAGGCAGTTTTGAACCACCTTCATTATCCATATACATCACCCTACAAGGTACACTCTGTGATGGGTCATTCCCATAAGACATAGAAGAAAAAAAAAGAGACCAACCACATTGAAAAGACATGCTGAAGAAATAAACTAGAATCTGATGAACAGCTTCATTATTTGGCCTCAAAACACTTTCAAGCAAGTTTAATACACAGAAAATAAAGCAATTCTAACATAAATACAGAGATCTGGTTTGATGTAGTGCAGGATGGGTTCTACTTATCTTTACTATTGGTTTGCAATGGGGGGCGCGCACGCACGCACGCTTCTGCGCACGCATAGTTCATCATTTATGATGTCCGGATGGGTGGGCAGAGCCTCCGCCGATTTTACTACCAGTTCTATAGAACCGGACAGAACCGGGAGCAACCCACCACTGGTGTAATGGTTAAGACACTGGATTAATACCATGAGTTCCAGTTCTCTCTTGGGTATGAAAGCTGATTTGGTAACTTTATATTCCCTCTTTTCTAGCTCAACCAATTTCACAGAGTTATTGCAGTGGAAGAAACAAGAGGAGGATGCATTGTAAAGATGAGATGTGAATCTAACAATAATTACAAAACATTCCCTATGCATCTTAAATCCAGATGTTTACACGCAGCTGCTTTCAATATTGCAAGTATGAACACGAGGCAAACTCTTTGCCCAATGAAAGAATAAGATGCCAGGAGATCCTCTACTCGAACCAAAGTGACAACCAAGCTCTCCTGCCAAGAGAACAGGCTAGAAAGTTTGGATACCTTACCAAGTCGACTCCAGGAGACGATAGGCCTGGGATTCCCAGTTGCGATGCATTCCAAGATGGCCGTCTGGTGCACCGTCAGAGTCAAGTTCTCAGGTCCCACAAGGATCATAGGGTCTTTGTAAACAGCAGAAGGAGAACCTGTGCAGGAAAGAGCAGACACCAAAACCTTTCGTATTTCCTTTCTGCAAGTATTTTATATTAGAAATGTACAGGAGCCGAGGTTCTAAGGAAAGGAATTTCAAGATGCAGGGGGACTTCCAGGTGGAAACATAGCAAGCTACCCGGTTTCCCCTAAAATAAGACATCCCCTGATAATAAGCCCAATTGGGCCTTTGAGCGCATGAACTAAAATAAGCCCCCCTGAAAATAAGCCCTCCCTGAAAATATTTAAACGCATGCGTAGCTGGTCCCCGCCATTTCCTCTGGTTTCCTCCACGCACCCCAAAATAATAAGACCTCCCTGAAAATAAGGCCAAGTGCTTATTTCGGGCTTTCCCCATTGCTTTCTCTCTTTTTCTTTGTATTTATCTTTACCCACGTAAACATTCTTAATAAACTGTACGTAACAAAGGGGATTTTGGAACGTAGGAAGATAGGCATCTGTGTCCACCTTCTTTCTGATGATATATTACTGTACGTTATATCGATTTTACTGAATATTATTGTAGCTCGTATCTTTTGCTTTTAATTACTATCTGAAGCCATGCACTGAAGCTTTGACCTGGTCTGTGATTGTAAAAAAACTGATCGATTGGAAACGTTCTGCTCGGTTGACCATAACAGACCAAGAACAGAAGGGACAAGAAGTAGCTTTCGTACCAAGACCAGAAAAATCATACACCTTTATCAGGGGTGAAATGCTCCCAGTTTGGACCGGATTGCCTGATCTGGTAGCGATGGCGGTGGGTGGTTCAGAGAACCGGTAGCAAAAATCCCTGCGGTCCGCCCCCCACCATGCCCAGCTGAGCCGCACGATCATCAGAGGCTTTTTTAAATTATTTTTAAAAGCATTTTTTCTACAACCTCTTCGGCCGAAAAAAATGCTTTTAAAAGTACAAAAAAAAGCCTCTGATGATCGCACGGCTCAGCTGGGATCGTCAGAGGCTTTTAAAAGGAAAAGAAGCCTCTGACGATCAGGCAACTCAGCTGGGATCGTCAGAGACTTTTAAAAGCATTTTTTACAACCTCTTCGCCTGAAGAGGTTGTAGAAGAAATGGTTTTAAAAGTTTTTTAAAAAAGTTGGCCACGTCTAGTCAGTCACATTACCCACCCCCCTCAAGCCACGCCCACAGAACTGGTAGTAACAAATTTTACATTTCACCACTGACCTTTATCCTATCAGTCAGGAGAGACTTTCAGTAAGCGAAATGTCTAATGAAAAGGACTAGGGGTAGGAGTGGGTTTGAAAAATTTTAGCAACCGGTTCTCTGCCCGCTTGCTGGCTGGGCGTGGCCATGGGGCATGGCCTACTCGGCCTCCTGCACCACAGTGGGGGTGGGGGTGTTTTCGCCCTCCCCTGGCTCCGGAGGCTTTCCTCGAGCCTCCGGGAGGGTGAAAACAGCCTTCCCCCAGGCACCGGAAGGCCCATTTTTCACCCTCCCAGAGCCTCCACGAGGCCCCTGCACTTGCATCCAAAACAAGCCTCATGGAGACTCCTGGGAGGGGTGGGTGGAGTGGGATGGGTGCGGCCAGCCAGTCCTTGCAACTACCGGTTCGACAAACCAGATGTAAAATTAGCATCAAGTTCATCCGAACTGGGTCCGAACCGGCCGAATCCCACTCCCAACTAGGGGCAACACGATAGCAGTGTTCCAATATTTGAGGGGCTGCCACAAAGAAGAGGAGGTCTTCTCCAAAGCACCTGAAAGCAGAACGAGAAGCAATGGATGGAAACTAATGAAGGACAGAACCAATCTAGAAATAAGGAAAAAATTCCGGATAGAGCGAACAATTAATTAGCGGAATGGCTTGACTCCAGATGTTGTGGGTGCTTCATCACTGGAGGTGTTGATGAACAGACTGGAACAACCATTTGTCCAGAATGTAAGTGGGTCTCCTACTTGACCAGAGGGGTGGACAAGAAGACTTCCAAGGTCCCTTCCAACTCTGTTATTCTGATGAAGATTGGGTATCGTCTCAAGAAAGAGACTGACATCTAGATTATAAATGATGACACCAATCAGCAAGTGTAAACTGTCATTCCAAAAAAAGGGGTTCATATCAGTGGTGAAATGTAAAATTTGTTACTACCGGTTCTGTGGGCGTGGCTTGGTGGTGGTGGGTAATGTGACTGGGTGGGCGTGGCCAACCTTTTTTTAAAAAAAAAACTTCTAAAAGCATTTTTTCTACAACCTCTTCGGCCGAAGAGGTTGTAAAACAAAAAGCTTTTAAAAGGCTCTGACGATCCCAGCTGAGCCGCGCCATCATCAGAGGTTGTTTTTTTTTTTTTTTTTTTTAAAAGCATTTTTTCGGCTGAAGAAAAAATGCTTTTAAAAGTAAAAAAAAAAAAAAGCCTCTAATGATTGTGCGGCTCAGCTGGGCATGGGGGCGGATAGGGATTTTTGCTATTCTCCGAACCACCCACCTCCATCGCTACCGGATCGGGCGATCCGGTCCGAACCAGGAGCATTTCACCCCTGTTTCATATGGTTTTGGGATCTTGCCTGGGGAGGCCAAAGGAAAACACCGTTATGGAGCTGGTTGGTGCCAAGAAAGCTATCCCTTCACCTTTATCAACTGATTTTTTAACAGGGTTTAATTATTCTTTTTTATTTATTTATTTTATTTCTATACCGCCCTTCTCCCGAAGGACTCAGCGTGGTGTACAGCCTGATTAAAAGCACAAAGACAGACAAAATTTAAAAATAATTAAGATTATTAAATTCTTGCCTCCTTAGATCATTTTTTATAATTTAAAAAAAAAAATTAATTCTAAAATTTTAACTCTAAGTCTTTTTTTTATACTGCTTTTTTATTTTGATGTTTTATTGTACACCAACCAGAGTCCCTCCTGGAGGGAGACAGGCGGTTCAGAAATGTGAAATATAAATTAAAAAAATATATATGCTAAGCAGATACCAAAGCAAAACCCTAGACAGATGAAGCACCTTAGTGATAGTCCTTGACATACAACAGTTCATTTAGTAACCATTCAAAGTTGCAATGAATGAACGGCACCGAAAAAAGTGACTTATGACAATTTTTCACATTTACGACCATTCTAGCATCCCCATGCTCATGTGATCAAAATCGAGGCGCTTGGCAACTGACTCATATTTATGACGGTTGCAGTGTCCCGGGATCATGTGATCCGCTTTTGCGACCTTCTGACAAGCCAAGTCCGATGGGGAAGACAGATTCACTTAACAACTGTGACAAAAAAGGTCGTAAAATGGGGCAAAGCTTCCTTAACAAATGTCTCGCTTAGCAACCTAAATTTTGGGCTCAATTGTGGTCGTAATTCGAGGACTACCTTTAATCTCTACCTCCGTCCCATCCAACTTCGCATCTCACCCTCCTCTCTCCAACCAACCTGATACGGTGAGCCTGGCTCCTCTGCTAAATTTCACATTCGCAATGTTGCTGGCAACGCAGTGGAAGATCCCAGCATCTTCGGCTCGGAGTCCTGTTATTTGCAAAACCCCCTTGGGAAGCAGTGTATACCTGAAGGATTCAGAAAACATACTTATTTTGGACAGATGCTTGGAACTCCATTTACAACAGTTTCTTTAGTGACCGTTTGCAGAGACTTCAGCACTGAAAAATGTGACTTACGACTCTTTTTCAGACTTATGACCATTGCAGCATCCCCATGGTCAAAAGGGATCAAAATTCAGACACTTGGCAAATGCTTCTGTCAAGTATTTGCAAGCCATTGGCACATGTGCCATATAGACACCAGTGGAGGCAGAGAGTGTGTGGAAAGGAGGGGCTTACCCTGAGCATAAAACCCCCTCCAACCTTTTCCACCTCGCTCTCTCCATTGCTCTCTCCATCTCTCTCTTTTCATGTTTGCTCCTCATGAGACTTGATCTCTGTTGTACATAGTTAATATGATTTATCATAGGAATAAATACATTTAAGACATTTATTTATGCATCTGCCTCTGAACTCTTCTATGCTCCTGGGTGTTTCTACAATCCCAATTCCACAGCTTCATATTTAGGACGTTTGCAGTTTCCCTGTGGTCACGCGATCCCCGTTTTGCGACCTTCTGACAAGCAAAGTCAACGGGGAAGCCGGATTCGCTTAACAACTGGGTTTACTAACTTAACAGCTGCAGCGATTCACTTAACAACTGTGGCAAGAAAGGGTCATAAAATGGGGCAAAACTCACTTAACCGATGTTTCGCTTAGCCACAGAAATTTTGGGCTTCGTGGTAGTTGTATGTCGAGGACTACCTGTATGGAGGTCAAATTGACAGATCTAGGTTTGTCCTTCCTCCCTTTTTGAATGACAGAGACAACATTTGCAGGAAGAGGAAGAGCAGGAAGGATGTCGGCTTCCCCACTTCAATCAGGTTGCAACGTGGTTACAAGATGCCAGGGTGACATTTTGAGATTTTAAGAGATAAAATGATTGGCAGGCATTTAGTCCACCGTACAAACATGAACAAAATAAGGGACGTGGTGGCTCAGTGGCTAAGACGCTGAGCTTGTTGATCAAAAGGTTGGCTGTTCAGCGTTTCAAATCCCCCGTGCCGCATAATGGGGTGAGCTCCCGTGACTTGTCCCAGCTTCTGCCAACCTAATAGTTCAAAAGCACGTAAAAAAAATGCAAGTAGAAAAATAGGGACCACCTTTGGTGGGAAGATAACAGCGTTCCGTGCGCCTTTGGCGTTGAGTCATGACCACGGAGACGTCTTCGGACAGCGCTGGCTCTTTGGCTTTGAAACGGAGATGAGCACTGCCCCCTAGAGTTGGGAACGACTAGCACATATATGCGAGGGGAACCTTTACCTTTACTTTTATAGACGTTCCCTTTCCAGAATCAGCAGATTTCTGGGAAGGGAACATACCATACTCTCCAATCCAGTTCTGGTTATTCGGGCATGGTTACCTGTCATTATCTGTGCTGATAGGGAGATGATTCTTCTGCCACATAATCATGGGCTCTGGCAAGCCATGGATCTGGCACTGAAAGCGGGCAACGCCTCCTTCTTCCACCACTGCACTCTGGGGGTGTACATGGAAGTCAGACATCGCTAAAAGAGAAGAGACACAAGACAGGTTAGAATAGAATGACAGAGTTGGAAGGGACCTTGGAGGTCGTCTAGTCCAACCCCCTGCTTAGGCAGGAGACCCTACCCCACTTCAGACAAATGGTTATCCAACCTCTTCTTAAAAACCTCCAGTGTTGGAGCATTCGCAACTTCTGGAGGCAAGTTGTTCCATTGATGAATTGTTCTAACTGTCAGGAAATTTCTCCTTCGTTCTAGGTTGCTTCTCTCCTTGATTAGTTTCCATCCGTTGCTTCTTGTTCTGCCCTCAGGTGCTTTGGAGAATAGCTTGACTCCCTCTTCTTTGTGGCAGCCCCTCAGATATTGGAACACTGCTATCATGTCTCCCCTAGTCCTTCTCTTCATTAAACTAGACATACCCAGTTCCTGCAACCGTTCTTCATATGTTTGAGCCTCCAGTCTCCTCATCATCTTTGTTGCTCTTCTCTGCACATTTAGTGTTCAAAGTTCAGAATTTATTTATGGTCCAAATCCAGTCAGAAATCTCCTAAGGGAGAACAATTAACCGATGGGATGACTTGCCTTCAGAAATTGTGGGTGCTTCAACACTAGAGCCTTGTGGTATAGAATAGAATAGAATTACAGAGAATAGAATAGAATTACAGAGTTGGAAGAGACCTTGGAGGTCTTCTAGTCCAATCTGCTCCCTAGGCAGGAAACCCTACCCCACTTCAGACAAATGGTTATCCAACATCTTCTTAAAAACTTCCAGTGTTGGAGCATTTACAACTTCTGAAGGCAAGCTGTTCCACTGGTTAATTGTTCTAACTGTCAGGAAATTTCTCCTTCGTTCTAAGTTGCTTCTCTCCGTGATGAGTTTCCATCCGTAGCTTGACTCCAGGGGTGAAATCTACTTATCTTTCTTACTGGTTTGGAAGCGCACGTGCTCCACGCCACGTGTGCGTGCAGACCTTCTGCGCATGTGCAAAACCTTCTGTGCATTTGCAGAAGGTTAAAAAAACACATTACTTCCTGGTTAAAACCAGAAAGTAATGACACCCGGACGGGTGGATGGAACTTCGTTCCGTCATTGCTACCGGATCGCCGAACCACCGGCCAAGATTGCTACCAGACCGGGCAATCCTGTCCAATCCGGGAGCAATTCACCCCTGCTTGACTCCCTCTTCTTTGTGGCAACCCCTGAGATATTGGAAGACTGCTACCATGTCTCCCCTAGTCCTTCCTTTCATCAGACTAGACATGTCCAGTTCCCGCAACCGTTCTTCATCTGTTTTAGGCTCCAGTCCCCTAATCATCTTCGTTGTTCTTCCCTGTGCTCTTTCTAGAGTCTCAACATGTTAGGGATTAAGGATCTGTTTGAAAAGGGATCCCCTGATATGGTGGAACCGTTGCTTTTATCCATTGTTAGTGGCCCAGAGTCATGTATTTGACGAGGACGGCTGTCTTAATTTTATAAATAAATAAATAATCAATAAACAAACTGGAAATACCAGGTAGGTCCATGCAACATACTAGAGGGTGATTTTAAAAAAGTTGTTGTGCTTTAGCATCTTGCCAGAACCTGGCTGTTACAGTCTTAGGAAGCAATGAAACAGATTACTGATTTCTTGGGGAAAAAATGCACATAGGATGCTGGAATTAAAAGTATAAAAAGCAAAGAAAAATTATAATAAATTTTAAAACCAGATATATATATATATAAATATATATTTTATTTCAAAGACACTGTGCTGTGAAGTGAGAGGGGAGAGGAGAGATTATGTTTAGAATGTGATGGATCAGAGGGGAACTTGGGCAGGCATTCAAGGTTCTGTTATTCTACTTACGACCATAAGGAACATTTATGGGAGCTCTGTCCTTTCTGTTCCTTGACCTGGCCTACCTCAAAAGGCTGACATTAATCTAGGACTATGGAATCTCTTCCCCAAGTCCCCTCTTAACAGCTCCTTCCTTCCTTCTTTCCTGTCCCCTTCTACACCTCTTCCCTCCCTCCCTTCTCTCTCTCTTGCTCTTCCCTTCTACACCTTCTTCCTTCCTTCCTTCCTTCCTGTCCCCTTCTACACCTCTTCCCTCCCTCCCTCCCTTCCCTCTCTCTTGCTCTTCCCTTCTACACCTTCTTCCTTCTTTCCTTCCTTCCTGTCCCCTTCTACACCTCTTCCCTCCCTCCCTCCCTCTTTTCCCTCTCTCTTGCTCTTCCCTTCTACACCTTCTTTCTTCCTTCCTTCTTCCCTCTCTCTTGCGCTTTCCTTCTACATCTCTTCTGTTCCTTCCTTCCTTCCTTCCTTCCTTCCTTCCTTCCTTCCTTTTTTCCCTCTCTCTCTTTTCCCTTCTACAACTCTTCCCTTCCTTCCCTCCCTTCCTTCCTCCCTCCCTTCCTTCCTCCCTCCCTCCCTTCCTCCCTTCCTTCCTTCCCTCTCTTGCTCTTCCCTTCTACACCTCCTTCCATCCTTCCTTTCCTCCCTCCTTCCCTCCCTCCTTCCCTCCCTTCCCTTTTTCACACCTTTCTCAAGGTCATCTCTAAATTCCTTTACAAATGAAATGAAGCAGAAGCCTGGAAGGAAGGAAGAGCTTCTTCTCATTCAACTCTTCCCCAAGTTTCAACCCAACCTTGGGTTGGGGGAGGGAAAAAAACCCCTTACTCCTGGCTGCCGGCTGTCCACCCCCCACCCTCCACCCCCTCCACCTCACTCCCGACAAAAGGACGTCTTTTGGTTCTGCCTCCCCTCCGTTGTCCCCTGCAAGATGCCTCCAGGCAGCAGAGTTAACACGTGGGCACCTCCATCTTTTCCTCCTCAACGTACATCAAAGAGAACACGAGAGGCTGCCTCTTGAAAGGGAGCGGACCAAGATGTCAGACAAGATTCATCACTCATCTTCAGAGTCCCATTGGGCTCCAACAGATGGGAGGCTTCTCGTGTCAGGTTCATACATTAAAGATGGGCTGCCCCCACCCACTCACCCACCCCCACCACCTCCCTGGCTCTGAGTGCCAGATCCCTTCTGCGTTTTCAGGAGAAGCCTTTCCTGCATGCTGATTCAGCCTTAGCTCTTTTCTCTTGCCTCCTTTCTCCTCCCGAAGGGAAACCCAACCCAAACCCGGTTTTAATGCAATTTGGGGAAACGGTTTATTAAATTAGAGAAGCCCCTTCAACACTAATGGCATTTTATTGCGTTAAGAAAAGAGTGCCGAGCATCAACCGACGGAGGTGGAAGCACAATAGAATTATTGTCGCGTGATTTTATGCCACACACACATCCCCGTCCCTTGCTGTGCTCTTGTGAGGTTCAACATGCTAAGATTTTAAGGATTGTCGACTGCAAACATTAACATGTTGGATTGGGGGAACCAGATCCGACTTGGGACTACAGGTAGTCCTCTGCTTAGGGCCACAGTGGAGCCCCAAATTTCTGTCGCTAAGCGAAACATTTGTTAAGTGAAGTTTGAACCCACTTTATGACTATTCAAACTTGGGACGCGGTGGCTCGGTGGCTAAGATGTTGAGTTTGTCGGTCGAAAGGTCGGCAGTTCAGCGGTTCGAACCCCTCGTGCCACGTAACGGGGTGAGCTCCCGTTACTTGTCCCAGCTTCTGCCAACCTAGCAGTTCGAAAGCAGGTAAAAAATGCAAGTAGAAAATAGGGACCACCTTTGGTGGGAAGGTAACAGCATTCTGTGTGCCTTTGGCGTCGAGTCATGGCGGCCACATGACCACGGAGACGTTTTTGGACAGCGCTGGCTCTTTGGCTTTGAAACGGAGATGAGCACCGTCTCCTAGAGTCGGGAACGACTAGCACATATGTGCAAGGGGAACCTTTACCTTTACGACTATTCTTGCTATGGTTGTTAAGTGAGTCACTGCAGTGAAGTTAGTAGTATGGTTGTTAAGCGAATCTGGCTTCCCCACTGACCTTGCTTGTCTGACCGTCGCAAAAGGGGATTGTGGGATAGCAAGACACGGCCAACGTCATAAATATGAGACAGTTGCCAAGAGTCTGAAGAAGAGAGACTCGCATGACCACGGAGAATGCTGCAGAGGCTGTAAGGGTGAAAAACAGTCCTGTCACTTTTTCAATGTCGTTTTAACTTTGAATGGTCACTAAACGAAGTGTTGTAACTCAAGGACTACCCATATAGTGCCAACATGGCCCATTAAAAAGAGTAGAGATCTCCATACACACCAATCTGAATTCTCTGGAAAAGGTGTGACATAACAACAATAATAACCACCACACCTATAAGTGTTGTGGTTAATTGTGCTACAGGTAGTCCTTGTCTTACAACACTTCATTCAGTGACAGTTCAGAGTTACAACTGCACTAAAAATAGCGACTGATGACCCGTTTTTTTTCACGCTTACGACCGCTGCAACATTCCTGGGGTCACGTGATCAAAATTCAAAATCACTCTGCTAAACAAATAATTCCCTCAACACTGTCAAACTATTCACTAAGTCTGCACTACTATTAATCTCATCGTTCCCACCACCGATCTCTTCCCACTTATGACTGTATGACTGTAACCTTGTTGCTGGTATCCTTACGATTTATATTGATATTGTTTCCTGATTGCTTATTTGTACCTTATTACTATCATTAAGTGTTGTACCTTATGATTCTTAACAAATGTATCTTGTCTTTATATGTACACTGAGAGCGTATGCAGCAAAGACAAATTCCTTGTGTGTCCAATCACACTTGGCCAATAAAGAATTCTGTTCTGTTCTGTTCTGTTCTGTTCTGTTCTGTTCTGTTCTGTTCTATTCTATTCTATTCTATTCTATTCTATTCTATTCTATTCTATTCTATTCTATTCTATTCTATTCTATTCTATTCTATTCTATTCTATTCTATTCTATTCTATTCTATTCTAATTTCCTTCTGGCACCTTTGAACCAGTGGTGGGTTGCTACCAGTTCTCCCCGGTTCTTGCGAACCGGTAGTGGAAATTTTGAGTAGTTCGGAGAACCGCTAATGCCACCTCTGCCTGGCCCCGCCCCCAATCTAT